GTGGGAGTTACATTCTTTTGATTCTCCTCCCCATCCCCCCGGGAGTTGGGGGAGGAAGGTGGGGGGGGAGTGAGTGAGCAGCTGAGTGGTTCTGGGTTGCCAGCTGGGCTTAAACCATGGCACCAGGGACTACAAACTGGTTACTAGGTGGGCATCAATGTCGATATAATTTGTCCTTGGAACTATGGACTTAATACCTGTCATTGTTCAGTAAATAATTTGCCTGGCATTCTATTCACTATTTGTCATTGACTTTTTTTTCCCTTTCAAAATGAAATGTTTTTTAACAAGTTCTTCCATCATCACTATCATCTGACCTGCACCTTTGGTACTACCAGGGAAACCTTCAGGCAGATGACTTTCTGATTTGTTCAGGTCTTTTTCCCCTGTACCAGTGAAGTCTACTCAAAAGACTTCTCATCAAAATAGTGCTGTAAATAATTGTCCAAGCTAGAAAGACTGACTACACAAGATAGGTGATAATGGTGGTATGAATTTATTGTATGATAAGTTTGCCTGCTAAAAGCAATCTCTTTTGCAAGGTCTATTGCTGACTAATTCAAGTGCTTTTGAAAACATTTCCTTCACACTCATGCCGCAGACTCATCTGTTAAATATGAATTATGTTGTAGAGAAAATTCTACATGTCAATTTATAATTTCTCCTCAATACAGCAATTCATATAATTTTAATTAAGATAACTTTTTTGTTATTTGCAAATACCTTTCTATGCACATTACAATGCAAGCTCTTACTGATTATTCATTACATACCATTGTATACTGCTCTACTTCTACTACTCTTGAAGTCTAAAGTTACTTCAGTTACTTAGAAGCCATGGAGATTCTGACGTTAATTTAAATACTAAAAGGTCTAGTCTTATGAAGTGCCTGATCCTGTGATCTTTCCCAGATGGGTCATTCTTATTTATATGGTTAAGCTAAATGTAAGGAAAGGGTGCTACCTTTACAAAGCTGTGAGCAGTACATCTATATTTCTTTTAAAAGAAAAAAACCACATGGATCACAAAACATACAGTATTGTTTTCTCTTCTGTCATTCAGTAGATTGTGCTTATAATGTTAAAACTTTATGTATGACTTCTATTTCAGCTTCAAGTAATTAGAGATTTTTAGGGCCTCTGTATTAGAATAGTCATACAGGATGTTTTACATCTACATTTGCGTGTTCTAATTCAGGGAACTCTAATGTATCAGTATGTCAGAGACTGAGTATCATCTTTCTTATTTGAAGTTATACTTTTTCCATGAATTTGACTTTGCTGAAGCATATGTCCAGCTGCAGCAATATTCATATTTCAGATGAAAAAATATTACTAGAAAATTATTGTTGAGATTTTAATTATATTTCTATGTTATTTTATAACTAGAAATAGGAAGAACCATTTACGATATGCTGCATTGTGATAAATTATGAATAAAACAATTTATTGGATCGGTCACAAATCTGAACGTTTTTGAGAAGAACAAAGAGAGTTTTATGATTTGAATTTAGTAAATACGGCCAGTAAAGTTTAGCTGTTGAAAATTCGTAAGTGATGCAACGCAGAAATGCCTCAGCTGTGCTTCAGCAGTTTTTTTAATTTTTTTTTTTCCCCTCAGTCTGACACAGTGGCTTAGAGGCAGTGAGTGAAAGAATATTACTAGCATCGCAAAAGTACCTTTCTTCAGCACGAGTCACAGAGGGTGACTACTTCAGGAAGTCAGATGTGTGGCTGTATGCTGAAAGCACTTCTGCGGGAGGAAGTGTAATAGAAGATTTATAATACAACCTATTTGCACAAAGGCAGTAATTAATAGAGAAAGGTTCTATTATAAACCATGGATATTCATAATAAGCCGTACTATTTCTTCTGAAATGGCTTGTCTCTAAGTACCTTTATTTCTGTACTTGAAAAAAAAAGCTATTGTCTTGAATGCAAATAGTAAATAAATAAATAAAAACAAACAGAGCAAAAAGAACTAAAGTATCCTGTAAGATACAAGAAGGAAAAGGTTTCATGTCTGACAATAGAAGTAAAGTCTAAAAAATGATACATGGTTTGGTCAAGTTTTGGTCAATGACGGTCAAGATTCTTACGGTCAGGGTCACTTTTTTCCCAGGGATGTGCTCAGGTCCGGCCAAAATATCTACATTTCTTGGCATTTCACTTGATATAATAAAATGCTGCAGGATCTCCCTCTCATTTCTCCCATAGCACACTTACTAGATTAGTCCAAACTCCTCAGATCTGGCAGATCTGGCAATTAGGCTAGCAGCTGTCTATAAAACACCACTGCAATTAATCTAATTTTGAGAAATGAGTTATCTTCATTCTACAGCAGGAAAAAGCCTTTTATAGTTAAGCATTACATATATATTTATATATTCTGTCAGCATACCTATTTGAGTTTCTCTGTTATTTCTCAACATATTTAGATTTTAGATTATGAGTTTTGAACTCTTTTGAACTAAGCAAACAGAAATGTCTTTGCAGCAGTCTGCTGCTTAAGGTGATACCATGTTCTGTCCTGTGAGTGAGAGAGGAGGAGAAGGTCATACCTATCCCATAGCATTCATCTGAGGCAACTAAGGGATGTTTGTCATAAACTGAGTGAGGATGGAGTAAGTTCACTAAAAGCTGGCTGACCAGAAGAATTAGCAGAAGCTGAGGAATATGGGTTACTATTTTCACAATGCTTTAAAGCCAGGTAGCCATGAGAGATTTAAACTTCCAGCATATTTTTTCCTATTTCTTGCTGATGTTTTTTTCTGGCTTCTTCAGTGACGACCATCCATAGAGTCACTTAGAAGGCTGCCACCATTTCTAGAACATATCTAACAGAATACTACTAATATATTTTCACTCTTCCAGGATTACAGAAATCTATATGCAACACTCTATATACAAATCTATGTATATAAATCTGGAAAGCTTTGTCTTATTTGGTACTGTGATGCTATCATTTGTGCTATTGGATATAAAATTTTTAGTACATTTCCTGTCCAGAGACTGTTGAAAGTTTCAGAATGGCAGATGGGTGCTTTTTTAGCCTTACAATAAGAAGTAATAAGCAGCAGTACAACACTCATTAACAGGTTTCTGTATTTTTTAACCAAAATAACTACTATTGAAATATCAATATCTCTTCATTGGATTAGCTCATCTGCATCTCCACAGGCCATAGATGTCCTTGGCCTCTTTTTTTTTCTTTAAGCAGATGGCAGTCACAACTGCTTTTTCATCCACTTGTTCTGTATTTATATATTTCAAACAGATTTTTAAATGGTTCTCATGGCCTAGTGTGATAATTTAAAACATTTATATAAAAAAACATTTCTCCCTCATGTTTTGAATAAATAGAAATAAAACATTCTTCCTTAGCTAAAACATTCTTATACTTTTTTCTCTGTAATTCTCTGGGATATAAATTATCCTCTGGATATCAGATCTTTAGAGATACATGGAAATTAAGGACAGAACTGATCAAGTCAACTCTCAGGTTCATATTTTCTTTTCTAAGTATGGGAATATCAACCAAGCAGGCCTAGACAAAAAGATGAACTATAATGAAGAAAAAAGATGCACCTCTAGCGTACAGACTAACTTAGGGTGGAGGAGGCCTCTGAAGAGCATTTAGCCTAACTCATACTCAAAGGCTGGTAAACTTCTAAGTTAGCTCTGGCTCCTGAGAAATATATCTGGTTGAGTTTTAAAAATCTGGAAAAAAAGGCAATTGCACAATTTCTCTGAGCAGCCTGTTCCAGCACTAAATCGCTTCTCTAAATCTCCTATGTCCTTGCTAACAGAGCCGTCATCACTGCGAAGTCACAACTGCTAACTCCTGTTCCACTTGCTCACCAGGACCCACACCCTTTTCTGCATCGATACTGTGTAGCCAGTTAGTCTGATCTTTCTTCCCTCCACTCGAAGCTTCTCCCTTCCTTTTCCGGTAACATTTCGCTCAGGTCTGATTTTTTTTTCATTTAAGGGACTGCTGGTTCTGTAAATATAAACTTATCATGTTTGTCCTCTCTCGGCTAGAAAACTTCCTGTTAAGCCTGTGGGGTTGTGAAGGACTGCAAGGCCCCTGCATTTAGTTCTTCCTTGGTGAATCCTGCAAAAGCTTCTGATCTGGAGGAGCTCAACCACCTCTCTGAAGATGAAATGGGAACCGTCATGTGCTCATGAAGAAATGCATAAACATTCTGCAGGTGTAAAATTTATTTTTAATTTGCAATGTAATAACTGTTTAGAGTCTAGAAATGGATCTGGGTTTCTCTTCTCATAATTCACCTTGTCTATATTTTGTATATGTAGCTTCTAAAGGTGTTCAGGAGATTCATCTTAGAAACTGCACAGGAAATAAAATCAGCATACCACTAAAACCTTTAAAATAGATTTACTTATGGAGAGTAAAATGGAGACAGTGAAAACATTATGGCAATAAGAATGTTCCATGAGTAGTGGTAGAAAAGGAGCAGAAAGGCTATTGAACTAATTGTATAATAAGTTATTAAAAGAACTGCTATGGTGACAGATGGAAATAAACACTGCTGCATGAATAATAATCATGTTTTTCCCTACCCAAAGATCAACTCTAGACATTCTGTCTGAATTAATTTTCCTTTAAATTAAGAGAAAAAAAAAAACCCACCAAAAAGAAAACAAAAGAATTAATGAAATTCCTGCATATGTCTTCTCTGTAATATGCTGTATTAATTTCCCCCCAAAATGTAGGCTATCCTTGTGTACAAAACATTTAGAAATGTACACGTGTATCACATAAAAAGCAGAAAGAAACAACGTAACTCCAAATTACACCAGTAAGAATTCAAAGAATAATTGCAGCTAAAAAAAAAAAAACCAAACCCAAGACAAAAACTGTCCCCAAAACCTGTCAAAAAATGGATTCCTCACAAGAAATTAATTACAAGAAACAGAAGTACATTCTGCATAGAAATTATGGTCACATGAAAATAGAAGCCACATACTGGTACCTTTATGTATGCTAGTACTCCCCTTCTGTCTGTATAAATAAATGACCCTTGCTTTCTTATTCTCTTCCTCTCTTCACAGTTTCTTCAAATCAAATTAAGATTTTCAGGACACCCAGTATTGTTTTCTGTATATTTGTACAGTATGTGAACTCTCAAAGTCTGAGACCTTTACTGTGCTGTCATAACAGAAGAACTGAAGTAGTAATCATGCTAACGAAGTAGGGGGGTAATTCTGTAATTTTTATGTAAGTGTAATTGACATTGATTCTGAAATAAGTTCTGCCAAAAAGTGATGAATACAGGATTAGGCGGGTGGTACTTTAAATCTTCTCTGTGTCAGCTCCTTTGTTTTCCAGTTGCCAAGGTTTATGTGTTGCTTATTTCATAGTAGGAATTTATTTTCCATTTTGCAAAGCACTAAGCATATTCTTTGGTCTAAATAAATGACTTCCAAAATAGAAATATCCTTCAGATTTTGGCTATCAGAGACATGCACTGATCTTGTTTTTATTGCTAGGTGGATGGTTCAACTCAGATTTGTTGTATTGTTACGTCTTTTAAGCCTTTGAGGTTAAACACCTGAAACTATTTTAGTTTCTGAATTGAGCAAATATAGACCTATTGCAAAAGCAGGTATTTCATGTACCTGGAGGTCTGAAACTATTCTATGTGTTTGCTAAGTAATTCTCGTAATTTTTCCTAAGTGTAGCATATGGCAGGCATGCTTGTAAACATACCCTAAGATGCCCTTTTTATTGCTGAGTTCTGAACTGAGCTGCAATTTCATATACATGTATTATTTTTGGATGATAGCCATTACAATTGCATTCATCTTTTAATATTACCTATGACAATAATGGTTATTTGAATTTGCTTTGAAAATTTTGGGACAAGTATAACCTGTGTTCAGCTGTTGGTGTGTACTCAGACAAGTTCAGCTTGACCAAAACTGTTTTCTGAAAGCACAATGGATACAAAGTCTGTCATGAGGTAAGGAGTCACATCCGCTCCACTTTCAGTGTCAGCATAGGGAGTGAGCGGGGATCTATTTTGGAATCATGTAAGTATGGCTGAAGAGCAGCCATGTGTTAGGTGAAAATACCTCTGGAGACAGACTAAATCCAGTATGTGTAAGTAACCTTCAGGAGAAATTTAGCACTGTGCTGAATGCCAGTTGGGACCTGGGCACTAAACTGTGAGAATTAGGTGTTGAATACGTTGCACAAGTCTTCCTCTCTAATGCAATTTTCATTCAAAAAGCGGCATTGAAGTCTCACCCTGCATTTGTGCATTGCAAGGTTCAGATGTTGTTTGTTACTCAGGAGCTCTTCCTTCAGCAAGCTTTTCGGGAGAAAAAAACCAAGCTGTCTTCAACAAGATTCAGTTAGGTAGTCCAACAGTTTTGTGGGTGATTTTTATAGACAGTTAGACATGCTGGAGATGTAATTTTGAGAAACCAAGAGCTTAAATAGTCATACTGTCACCACGGGCTATAAATAATACCTCTTTTTTTTTTTTTTTTTTTTAATTTGGGAAGTCTTCATTGCTATCCAGCACCAGGATTAACTTTCTAGGTGACCCTGTAGATTTCTTTTTCTCCTCATCTTTCCCTTCTCCTCCTTTTCCTTTGCTGATGTTTCATGCTTAAGCTCTCAATTTAATTTAGATAGATAATTCTCTAGTACCAAATAATTCACTCTGTACTGCAATGTTCTTTACACATTTACAGCACATACAAATGATGAATAATACCATCATCTTTCAGTGAACAGCAGACTTCTAGTTTGTATACACAGTGCAAATAAGCATTTATCTAGATTTTATATTAAAATCAAAGGAGAAAAATAGGCTTTTGAGTAGCTACTTTACAAATTAAAAAGAGAGGCCTCTTGCACCTGCAGTAGCTCTACAGCATAAAATGTTCTGGCTTGTCTCTAACTACTGTAAGCAAATCCTTGACTATAGCTTTGAGTGGTGGGAGATCAGTATACTTCAGAAGAATTGATTAACCTTTTTCCCCACTTTGAAAAATCCAAAATGATGATCTCCCTTCAAAATTAATTTAAGAAACACATATATTTCAGAGGTAGCTCAGATAATCTTCAGACACGTAGAAGCTTAAGAGAAGGTTGAACTGTAAGTAATCAATTTGTTGGTGTTATTTTGTTTGTTTTATTTTGTTTGCCTGTGAGACAAAACTTCAGGAAGGAAAAAGCCCAGCAGATCAGATTGGCTTGGTGACCACCATGATCTCTGTCAAAAAATTATGATCCTGTGATATGATGCAGACATGCTTGGCACCCACCTTTTTTAGGATTGGCACCCACCCTTTTTAGGATTGCTCCGCATTTAGCAACACTGCTAGATTCTGCAGTACGTTAAGCTTCCTATTATTATTTTCTGCACAATACAGAATTACATATCCGTAAAGACACCAGGACTGAAATCATCCATTTGTAATTAAAGTAGAACTATAATGCATTTTCCCCACTTCCCACATACCTATTTTTACCACTTTCCTTGTTCTGACTCACAGAAGATGTGAAGTGCTGAGGCCTTGCCTAACATACTGTGTGCCAGGAAACCACTGCCCTCCCACTCGGTTTGCCTCTGCACAGGAAGTACTGTGCAAGCAAGCCACTGCCATTGTGAACTGCGTCCCGAAGTTTGTCATTGCCCAGGATCCAGCTCCTAAGTGCAATATTAAGTCCTCAGGACTTGATATATTGCTACTAATTCAGATATTTATGTTAATGTATCCTATCTACTAGCTAACTTTATTCTCAGAGATCTCTAAGTACTGGATGTTGGGGGGAAACTTTCTGTACAGATACCACAGTTGCAGTCACAATAGCTGGGACACTACATTTGGAAAATAAGAGAATTACACATTTACATGAGTAAAAGTGCCAAAGGAGAAAGGTTGTCTAAAAATCTGTGTGTCTACATTTTAGATATTTCCTTCCCCCACCATGTTAGAAGCTTATATTCCAAAGTTCCTCCAAGAAATCTTCCTTTTCCTCTCTCCTTACCCTTCCTCAAGAACTTATGCTCTATTCCTGTGTTTTACTGTGTGCAAACACTGGGAGAAGTAGTTCTGCAGTTTAGGGACCTGAGTGCACATCTCCCTTTTCCTGCTCTCTTCACTATCTCAAGTTAAGTTCTTGCTAGTCAGAAGAAACCATGCAGTAGAATCATAGAATCATAGAACAGTGAGGGTTGGAAAGGACCTTAAGATCATCTAGTTCCAGCCCCCCTGTAGCTCAAGCCTCTGTGCTCAAATCTCACAGCTATTCAGAGGAAGTGAACTTGGTCTAAAAACTACTGGAGGGAAAGACCCACCATCTCAGTTCTTTGCTAATTTCTCTTTAGCCTTTATCCCAGAATCTGAGGTCTGACCTGCTCATATTTTAGCCTTGATTTTTACTGGAATCATCCTGCCTAGACCTTGTCAATTTCTGACTGCTCTTCACCTCGGAATCTTCTGGTTGACTTGACTGAAACTCTCTAGCACCCAAACTGGGCTATTTGTCCTTGACCATTCTTTGCTTTGAACTGCTGCTTCGTTGTTCTCTCCAGTGTTTAGCTTTGATTATATCCTGACCTCACTTATGCCTAGTTTGTGTCATGGGACTAGAAGAAAAGGAAAGCAGAGGAGATAGGATGGGAAGCGGTCCACAGAAAAGTTGTACATCTAACTCTGTGTTTCTTACTTGATGGATATAATGTTCTGTCAAAATTTTAAGAACAAATCACATGATTTTGTTCTTTGTGTTTTATTTGAGGGGTGAAAATAACACTGCTTCCTCTTTCTTGATATGCTGTACATTGGTATTGGTCAAATTCTGTATGAGGTGTTGAAGAGAAGTTCAGAGATGACTCAAATGCAAGTTGCTATCTTGTGGTTATTAGTATCACTTTTTCCTTTAAATTTTTGCGGTTGATGAGGCTCAAGTAAAGACATATTCTGGCATATCAAGCAAGTTGGACTGAAATGCTGTTCCAACATACAGGATTTAAATCCTAATTGTCAATGAGCATCTAATTTGTATATATTAAAGAATTAATTAAAAAAATATATTTAAAGTAGTGTCAGTATATTTGCTGATATTTGCCAGAATTTCATGTCCCATGTGCTTCCCCCAGAATAAATGATGCAAGATAAAATATTCTCCAGAGGAAAATGTAGTCAAGCTTGTATGTATTACTGCCCTTCAGACCCTAAAATCCTGAGAATTTTTTTATATTAAGAATGTCAGTCTTATCTTCCCCCAATGACTTGTTAGGAATTGGAGAACTGGTGAAATGTTGGTATCACAGCAGAGTGACATTGAAACAACTATATGGTGTCTTTAGTTGCAACGAGTTGGCCAGAGGAAGCAGATGTCACTTGAACAGTGTAGAGGGTAAGCACATTTTGTAAGAAGGCCTCGAGCAAAACCAAAGATCAGGAGGTAGAAACACAAGGATCCTTTTTTCTCAACTTTCTGTCTTTGCAAACAAAAAAAGAAAACCATAAAAAGAGCAATTTAAAATGCAGAATATAGATACAGAATGCAGCTTTCTGTTCTTGTTCTGTGTATTAGCAGCCTGCTAAGCTTTGACAAGAGTCATCCTGAGCTTTGAATTCAGGTTTTAGCAGAAAAATAAATAAAACAAAAATACCCCCAAGCACCTAAACTTTCAAAGCAATACGTGGGATATAGCTGTAATGTCTTAGTATTTTAAAATTGTTTTCATCTGAGATGATTCAAATCTATGACTTTCAAGTGGACATGGGAAAATACAAAGTGCCTTTCCCATAATTCCCTTCAGTTTTGAGGTCTAGTTGCCCAGTTTTATAAATGTAAAGCCCAAAGGCAAAGAGAGTTTACTACATACACTGAAAAAATTATCAACACAGAGCCCATCCCTTCAACAGATTGACCTGAATTTTGCAGAGCTGTCCTATGTGCCTCTGGAATTCACCAAAAATAACTGCAATTAATATTTCTTCTGCCATATGCCATCTTACAGTAAAAGAATATTTTATTATCACCTTGTTTAAAATTAGGTTTTTTAAATTGATGATCGTTTAGAAAATAAAAGCATTTTTCATGGCTGGCAAGAGGTGCATAAACAAATGTATGAAGACCAGTTGCATTCAATTTTAAGAT